AGGAGCTGCTCGCAGGTTTGCAATGCCCACCTTTCCAGGAGTGTATAACCACTGTACCACCAAAGGTCCTTGCAGTACTCTATACTTGAGGAGTTCATCAGAGAGCAGAGAATTTGGCACCAAAATGACTACTGTTGCTACTTTTACATGTGACAGCACAGAAATGTCACGTGTTTGTAGAACCTCTCTGTGAAGTATATTTGGTTTGTAGGGAAATATCTGGAGATAAGGTGTAAAGATTACCAACTCAAAGGCACATGTTTTGACTCTACCAGCTTCTTGCTCAGGAGGAGAAAAATGGGCACTCTCCTTCAGAGACATTTGTTGTTGTTGCTAAGTGTCACTGAGTAGAGTACAACTTACAGCAATCCTATGAAGAAGAGGTGTGAACTCTCTCCTATCCTCTACCATGCTCATCAGCCTTGACACATGAATCCATTGCCACACACACTTGTATCAGTCCACCTTACTGAGGGCCTTTCTCTCCTTGTCTGGCCTCTCCTAACATGGAGAGAGACCAGTTGGCCTAGTGGACAGAAAGTGATGCTACCAAGCCAAAGGTGGGAGACTTTAATCAGTGGTCCTCAGGCTTGTTTTTAATTGTTTTTGGTGAAACGTTCTTCTAGGTCATATAGCCCTGCTCTGTCCACTTGCTGTACAGAGGTAACTTGTGGTTGCTGAGAAGCCGAACACTGTGACACTGATGAGTCAAATGTGAGAATGGTTACCCAAGGTGGACAGTGTTTGTTGGAGCTCTCCGATTCAAACAAGCTTGGAAGCAGGACTGGCATCCACTTCTGAAATATTGCCTCCGGAAACTGTATGAACCTGGAGAAAGGATAAAAGTTATACAGGTGCTCAGGTCTTTCATTCATAGGGTTGCTATAAGTCGCCTCTGACTCGAAGGCACTTAACAATAACAACAACATGTGATATTAAGCTTTACCATCTGCCTCCAAGGAACCATCTGGTTGCACTTTCTCCAAGACATATCTCTGATTCTTCAGGCAGTCCTTGGGATATTCAGCTCTCTCTTCTTCCACAACTCAAATGCATTGATTGTTCTGTCATTCAATGTTTAAGAGACTTACTGACTCTGAAAACCTACTGGAGGATCAGCTATGAGTTGGTTCGTAATTGGTGGCACACAACAACATACGAAGACTGTCTCAATTACTGATGGAGTGACAATCTACAGAATGACTACCTGAACAGCAAGCCAAAACACTGCCAAGGTCATCAAATCACAAAAAGTGAGATATTTTCACAACCAAGAAGAGTAAAACAAAACTAAATGTAATGTCCTGGAACAGAAAAGGGTATATATGAAAATCTGAGTGGAGCTATAGCCTTCCAGGATGTATCAGTTGGCTTATTAACTGTAAACAAAAAGTCCTATAGGTTGTTAAAAAAATCATTTCTAGATCCATCTTGAAATGCAATATTGTGTTACAGGATAATATCCATATGCATACAAAGAAGTCCAGTTAACACCACTATCATTCAGATATATGCATCCACAACCAGAGCCAAAGAAGAGGAAATAGAAGATTTCTACCAACTTTTACAATTGGAAATCAATCAAACATGCAATCAAGATGCATTAATAATATTGGGTGACTGGAATGCAAAAGTTGGGAACAGAGAAGAAGAATCAGTAGTTAGAAAACATGGATTCGGTGACAGAAATGAAGCTGAGATAGAATGAATTTTGCCCAATCAATGACTTATTCATGGCAAATACATTTTATAAGAAACATAAACACAGGTTATATACATGAATTTCACCTGATGGTATGCATAGGAATCAGATCGATGATATCTGCAGAAAGAACCGCTGGAGAAGCTCAATATCAGCTGTGAAAACTAGGCCAGAAGCTGATTGTGGAACAGATCACCAACTACTCACAAGCAAGTTCAAGATGAAGCTAAGGAAAATTAAATTGAATCCACAGGAACCAAAATATGATCTCGAGTCTATCCCACCTGAATTTCAGAACCATCTCGGGAACAGGTGTGAGGCCTTGAACACCAGTGAAGGAAGACCAGATGGGTTGTGTGAGGTTATCAAGAGTATCATCCAGGAAAGGTGCAAAAGGTCATTACAAAGACAGAGGAGGAAGAAAAGACCAAAATGGATGTCAGAGAGATTCTGAATATTGCACAGGAGTGCTGAGAAGCCAAAGCAGAACGAAGAATTCAAGATACTAAAGAGCTGAACAGAAGATTTCAAAAAGCATCATGGGATGACAAAGTAAAATATTACAATGAAATGTGCAAGGATCTGGAGTCAGAAAATCAAAAGGGCCAAACTCACTCAGCATTTCTTAAGCTCAAGGAACTGAAGAACAAATTCAAACCTCAAGTTGCTATAATTAGGATGCTTTACACAGAATATTAAGTGATCCGGGAAGTATTAAAAGATGGAAAGAGTATACAGAGTCAATGTATCGAAAGGAATTGGCAGACACAGAAGAATTTCATGAAACAATATGAGCCAGAAGAAGTTCAAGCTGCTTTGAAGGAATTAGTAAAAAATAAAGCCCCAGGAATGCTGTCCTGGATGTGCTCACCAAGTTGTGCCAAGGAATCTGGAGAACAACCACTTGGCCAACTGACTGGAAGAGATCTATATTTGTTCCCATTCCAAAGAGAAGTGACCCAACAGAGCATGGCAATTATAGAACAATATCATTGATATCACATGCAAGTAAGAGTCTGCTGAAGATAACCCAAAAACGAGTGGAACAGCACATCAGCAGAGAACTGCCAGAAGTGCAGGCTGCGTTTAGAAGGGGTCGTGGTACTAGGGATATTGTGATATTGGCTGAAAGCAGGGAGTACCAGAGGAATGTATATCTGTGTTTCATTGATCATGCAAAGGCATTTGACTGTGTGGATCATAACAAACTGTGGCCGACTCTGAGAAGAATGGGAATCCCAAAACACTTGATCGTGCTAATGTTAAACCTATACTTGGACCAGGAGGCAGTCGTCAGAACAGAGCAAGGAAACATTGCATAGTTCAAAATTGAGAAGGGTGTACAACAGGGATGTGTCCTATTTCCATACCTTTTCAACATATATGCAAAACAGATTATCCGGAAGGCTGGGCTCTATGAGGAGAAGTGTGGCATCAGTATTCGTGGAAGATCCATCAAAAATCTGCGTTATGCAGATGACACAACTTTGCTTGCTGAAACTGAGGAGGACCTGAAGCACTTATTGCAGAGAGTCAAGGATTGCAGCCTTCAATATGGATTAAGGCTCAATATCAAGAAGACAAAGATTCTCACCACTGGGCCAACTGGCAGCATCAGGATGGATGGTGAAGAGATTGAAGTTGTTCACAGCTTTAGTTTGCTTGGCTTCACAGTCAACACTCTTGGCACCAGCAGTCAGGAAATTAAAAGATATATTGCAATGGGAAAGTCTGCTGTTAGGGACTGCTCCAGGGTACTGAAGAGCAATGGTGTCACTCTGGAGACTAAGGTGTGCCTGATACAGACCATGGTCTTTGCAGTCACTTGCTATGCATCTGAGAGCTGGATAATACTAGGTAGAATAGGAGAATTGATGCCTTTGAGCTGTGATGCTGGAGAAGAGTATGGAATGTACCATGGACTGCTAAGAAAATGAGCAGGTTCTTCCTGGACAGGGTTAAACTGGACTGCTCCTTGGAGGCAAGGATTCTGAGGCTTCGTCTGACATACTTTGGACACATTGCAAGGAGGGACGGGTCCTTGGAGAGGGACATCATGCTTGGGAGGGTGGAGGGACGGCACAGTAGGGGAAGACCTTCTATGAGATGGATTGATTCAGTGACTTGGGGTAATCGGGATGGGTGTGTCAGAGACAGTGATACTGGCACAGGACAGAGCAGGGTTTAGGGCTGTTGTACATAGGGTCACTATGAGTCACAGGAACTATGTGCACCTTCTCTACTTTTCGATAAATCTAAAACGATTCTTAACAACAAAATCTATCTGAAAACATCAGACTGACATTGAAGGAAGTAAAACATTTAGTACAGTCATGTTAGAAAACTTACTAGACCTAAATACTGATGATCCATATTGCAAAGATTTCTTAATAGGACTTATTATCCTCTTATCATTTGTGATGTTCTGAAAAGGGAACATCCAGAAAGATTTCCGGGTTTACCTCAAAACAAAACAACCAGTTTTGCTTCCAGTCTAGTTTCCAGTTTCCAGGTCTAACAGGCGTGCCATCTGCTTGCAGAGTTAAGTTGGTAACCATGGTTCACTTCACACACCAGCGTTAGGGTGTTAGGAAGTTTGTCCAAGCAAGTCTGGACAACTTCGCTTCCGCGCAGGTTGCTGGAGAAGGTGGCAGGGTGGGAAGGGGCGGCGGCGGCACCCGGAGTGTGGATATTATTTTCATAAACCCCATCTGCTTTCCCCACGCTGGGATGCACCGCACCCGCCGTCCCCAGGCGCGGCAAGCCTGGAGACCTGAGCGGGTCTTTTCTGCATAACAAAAGAGCCGCCCCCCCGCCCCGCGCCGCCCCCATCTAGGATTCCCGCGGTCGCCGAGCCCCAGTCCCGGGCAGGAATTGGCTCCCGGGCGCGAGGTTTCCAGGTACCCGGAAGGGGGTAGGGGCTGAGGCGGCAACAATTGGGCGGGTGAAGGCGAAACGCGCGACTCGGAGCGCCAAGACTCCGAGAGGCGGCGAGCCCGGACCTAGCCGCGGCGCGATTGGCCGAGCCGGCCTGCCGGTCGCCAATGATTGGTGAATTCTCAAATTCGGTCTCAAGGCGCCAGAGGAGGTGTTTTAGCGGGGATCCCGATCCAGAGCTGGAATTGCGCTCGGCGGGTCGGAGCGCTGGCGCTGCGGGAACGCCGCGGGGTCCCCGCCAGCGCAGGGCACTCGGAGCGAGGCACTGCGCGCGCCTCCTTTTCCTCGCCCGATGTTGCCGCTCCAGCTTCCAGGCTACTAATCGCCGTACCCGGTTCCGCGCTGGTGCCAGGCGGTGGAGGTCCCGGGAGAGGCAGGAAGCCACTTTTGCAAAGCGGGGGTAAGTAGCGTGCGGTCCCGGCGCTGATGCTTGTGGCGGGAATTGGGTGGAGAGTCACCTCTCGCCCTGGCTGCCAGCCTGCCATCCTCCTGTCCCCGACCGGCGGGCAATAGAGGAATTTCTGCAGGAGTATCCGACTCGCTGCTGTCCAGGCTCTAGCTTTCTCTCTGCTGGAAAACTAAGGGGGCTCTATCCTCCCTCTATCTAGATTTGGGTATTTCATTGGAAGTGTTTCTCCACTTGGGGTCTGCTTGAAGGCCTGGGAATGGACTGAGCCATAGTCTGAGTGGGTTTAATCTAGCGATCAGGTTTCTTTCCCTCCTGATTCAAGCCCCCCTCAAAGCCAAATCCTCTGAGTTTGCGCCAAAATTAACTGACTTAGCAGACCCTGTATTTTCTGATTTGTCCAACACTCTCTGAATTGTAGTTTTACTTTGCCTTGTTGATTTTCCTAAAGAATTACTAGTTTTGTCAATGACTTTCATTCCCAGATTGTTAGTAATTACTTAGCAGTGTCTGCCTCTTGAGTTTCAGAGAGAGAGGTAGGGTGGGGGTGGGCCACAACCCTGGAAATTCCCAGGACCTATTTAGGGAGGGGACGTTCATGGTTTTGAAGAAAAGTAAACATATTTTCATCGGAGAAGAAAATGTCTCGATATAAAGCGATTTCCTAATGTAATTGTGCTTTGTAGATGGAGGTAAATTGTTTAACGCTAGAAGACCTTAACCACTCCCGGCAGTCCAGACGAGATTTTGCAATTGAAGATGGAGAAAATGCACAAAAGGTAAGTGTGCGCATTACCTTCCCTTAATACCTTAAACTCTACCTTGCTTAGGGATGGTGATGTCTAATCCAATTTTTTCACCTTGAGACTAGTGTTTGTGTGATAAACGTATTAGTAAACTTTATAGAAATAGGTTTTCTTAAGTCAGAAACATCCAAATTGTTATTGTTACATTCCTCAGGAGTCATGCAGTGGAAGAAGAGACCAAATTAGATGATATGTTAGAACATACTCATAATGATCAATATGCTGTATGGAGTCTGTGAGAGAAAATTTTAGTACATATTCTTAAAGGTAAAATTAACTAATTCTTTGAAGGAATGTTAAACCTCCGTTCCCAGCTAAATGTCCATTGCTATAAAGACTGGGTTATTGAAGTACTATAAAATGCCCAATAAGTCAACTTGTTAGAGGCTGTTGGCTTCCCCTACTCTCTGCTTGGGGACATAGGGTGATACAGTAAGTGTGCCCACTCATTTAGTCTTTGGATATTTTAATGACTTTATCAAGTACCTTCTTAACAACTTTCATTGCTGGCTGACCTTCCAGTGGGTTTTCAGAAGCTGTCAGTCCCACAGTAGGACATTGCCCATCTTTCTCCCTCTGACCTACTTGGTGGATTAGAACTGCTAGAGAAGTGCCACCTTTGGCTTAGCAGTGCAGCCCCCTATACACAGTAATAACATTTTCAGAGAAGTGAAAAAGACCACAAAAGCTGCAAGATACGGAGGAAATATATAAACACACATTTTAACAAACAGGAATTATCCCAGTGACAACAAAGTGCTTCTGCTGAGGTAGTACCAGTGTTACTACTGCTCACTGTGGTTGAGTCAGAACCATCTGACAGCTGACCCTTCATCCGGTTTCTGAGGTTATAAATGAGGCGATTGCTCATCACTCCCTCTGTAGCTTCCAAATGGCAAAGAGGTTGAGCCTCAGCTGTATGAACTAGGCCACCAGAACTTTGCAGAGGTGGTAAGGGGGTTCTTATCTCCACATTGCATTGCAGTTAATGGGAGAATCTAGGGATAAAGCATGGGATTTAGAGTCAGAACTGAGTTTTCTTTTCCTCCGTTGCCATTTATTAGCTATGTGACCAGAAACAAGTCTTGTTCATTTAGTCTTATAACAAATATTTATGTTCCAGATGCTGGGGAAAGCAGTAGCTTTAATGAGCTGCCTCAATTCTTTTAGCTTATGTTGTGTTTTTTGGGGTTGTTTCTATTTTTCCCATAAATTAAAGCTAATAAACAGCTTCTCCCTTACTGGTGTTTGTAATAGTGCCTGTTAACAAAGATAAATATGATGTAGGCAGACTCTCAGGAAACCTCACTATAAAGCTCCACTGTGATTTGGTAAGTGCTATAAGAGGAGTTGAAACAAAGTTCCCTGGCAGAATAGGAGAAGAAATAAGTTCATAAAAAGGCCAGGGAGCATTGGAAGGCTTCATGGTACCATTTGGACTAAGCATTAAAAGATGAGTTAAGTACAACCTATAAGAATACAAGAGTGAGTGATAGAGACACCTGAGATAAGAATCATGAGGTAGGGACATTCAAGAAACACTGGCAAAATCCAGAGTGGCCAGAAGCTAGTGATGTTGAGCTACTATTAAAATTTCTCCAAGGGGTGGTAGCATAGTGTCCCAGTGAACTACTTGAGATTATAGGATTTCTCTTTCTTGACTATATCTGAATGTTGGTCAAGATCCATAAATTCTGGATCTGCTTAGTTCTTATAATCTTTCTTTTTAGCATAAAAAAAACCCAACCCATTTCAACTTCATTACTCAGGAAGATGGACTTTACTGCAGTTTGGCAAGTGGTGACCTCAGTGAAAGCAGGCTCAGACCACACTGTGTACTTTGAGGCATCACTGACAGATGAGCAAGGGGAAGGTCTTCGTTTACATTTACTCCTTCTAGGAAATTTACCTTGAAAGAAGAGAACATTTAGAGTCAGTAGCTGGAAGGAAACTCTTGGTAAGATATGGTCTTTGTGATGGTCAAAGCATGACTGACAACATTATAGAGAGATTCTCTGAGCAATGTAAAGTGCAGGGCAGATTTGCGGAGGAGTAATTGAGCAAAATGTTGGATATTCATGAGTAGGAACTGGAAAAAGAATGGTCAAATAATCAACAAAGGTCTTAATTCGAGACATGCAGAAATATGGCCAAATCTGTGTGAGACTGAAGCAGGATTAGAGCTCAGGTCTGGTGACTACCATTCCCTTTGGCAATATGTTGTTGTTGTTAAGTGCCGTCGAGTTGCAGGCGACTCAAAGCAACCCTATGAAGGAGAGTCCTCGACGCTTGGGTGCCTTTCATCCTCTCTCCAGGTTCATAGGGTTTCCAGAGGCAAGCTATAATGGAAGTGGATGCCACTCCTCCTTCCACGCTTGTTTTAATCAGGGAGCTCCACCCCACTCTCTGTCCGCATTGGGTAGCCAACCATTAACGCATTTGACACATCCGTGTCACAGTGTTCAGCCTCACAGCAACCACAAGTGACCGCGGGACAGCAACTTGTACACCAGGGCTATACAACCTAGAGGAATGTCTGAACAAAAACAATGAAAGACTGGCCTGAGGGCCACGGATTAAAAGTCACCCACCTTGGTCTTGGTCACATCGTTTTCTCATCACTGGGCCAGCTGATCTCTCTCTCTCTCTTTCTCTCTCTGTTGATGTTATTGTTGTTAAGTGCCGTCGAGTCTCAGGCCACTCATAGCGACCCTATGAAGGAGAGTCCTCGACTCTTGGGTGCCTTTCATCCTCTTTCCAGGTTCATAGGGTTTCCGGAGGCAAGCTATTATGGAAGTGGATGCCACTCCTCCTTCCACGCTTTGGCAATATACTCCTAATTATTTACAGTTATGTTATTGTTGTTAGGTGCCATCAACTCATAGTGACCCTGTGAACGAGGGATCTGAACCCCATCCTATCCTATGCCATCTTCACACTTCTGACACACTTAGTGCACACTGCGGCAGTCACCTTGTCAGTCTGAGGGTCTTCTTCTCCTTCGCCAGCCCTCCACCCTTTTAAGCATCATGCCCCTCTCAAAGGAATAGCCCCTCCTAGCAACATGCCCAAAGTATATGAGGCAAAATCTCATCATCCATGCCTCCAGATAGCATTCTGGCTGTACTCTCTCCAAGTCGTATTTGATCTTTTGGCTCTCCGTAGGATTTTCAGTGCTCTTCTCCAACACCATAACTGAAATGTATCAATTCTTGTTCTGCCATCTCTATTCATTGTCTAGCTCTCAGAAGCATAGCAAGTGATCAGAAAGATCATGGCCTGAATTAGATGCACCTTAGTCCTCAAACTGGCATCATTACTCCTCAGTAATATGAAGAGGTCCCTAACTGCAGACTCTCCTAGTGCAGTATGTCTCCTTATTTCTTGACCACTGGTACCAAGGGTGTTAATTGTGGATCCAAGCAAGATGAAGTTGTTAACAGTTTCAGTCTCTTCACCATCCATCATGATGTTGCCTATTGGTCCAGTGGTAAGAATCTCTTTTGACATTGAGATGCAGTCCATACCAAAGGTTACATTCCTTGATCTTCTGCAACAAGTGCCTCAAGTCCTCCTCACTTTAAGCAAGCAAGGTTGTGTTATCTGCATAATGGAGGTTATTGATAAGTCTCCCTCCGATCCACATTCCTTTTCATAGAGTCCAGCTTCTTGAATAATTCGCTCAACATACAGATAAAATAGATATGGAGAAAGAATACAACCCTGATGCACGCCTTTCTTAATTTTATACCATGCATTGTTCCCCTGCTCTATTTGCACAGCATCTTCCTGTTCCAAGTATAGGTTTCACATGAACACTTATTGTGATCCACACAGTCAAATGCCTTTGCATAGTCAATAAAACACAAATAGACTTTCCTCTATAAAATGGATATTTATAACTATAATGATGGTATTGTTGTTGTTGTGTACCATAGAGTTGGAACTGACCCATAGCTGACCCTCTGGTGGGTTTTCAGAGGCAATTAATTGCTTGAGAGGAGATTACCCATCCTTTTCCAGTGGAGCAGCTGGTGGTCTTGAACCTTGTACCTTTGGATTGCAACAAAACTTCTTGCCACTAGGCCACCAGAGCTCCCTGCAATGGTATTACTACTACTAATAATAACTATTTGAAGATTTTTGCTTTCTTGATGTTGCGACGTAATCCATATTGAAGGCTGTAATCTTTTATCTTCACTATGGGTCAGACCCATAGCTGACCCTCAGACAGGTTTTCAGAGGCACTTCATCTCACGGCAGCTGGTAGATTTGAACTGTGTGGCTTTGGGATTGTATTGCAGCTTCTTACCCCTTAGCTACTGAGCTCCCTAGTAATCATTATAACTGAATATTTGAGGATTTTTGTTTTCTTGTTATTGAGATATAATCCATATTGAAGGCTGTAGTCTTTGATCTTCAGTAAGTACTTCTTCATTTTTCAACAAGCGAGATTGTTGCATCTGCACAATGCAGCTTGTTGAGTCTTCCTCCAGTGCTAATACCATATACTTTTTCCAGCTTCTCAAATACTTTGCTTAGCATATGCTATATAGATGGAATAGGTTAGGATGGAAGGATAAAACCCTGACACACGCCTTTCCTGATCTTAAACCATGCAGTGTTCCTGTGTTCTGTCCGGACAACTACTTCTTGGACTAGGTATTGTTTTATCATGAGTACAATTAAGTTGAAATTGAAATTCTTGGATCCTTATTCCTCTAATGTTAGCTATCATTTACTTTGATCCACATGGTCATATTTGATTTGCATTTTCTGTGGTGCTTCACTAAGAATCAGTGTGGTAAGGAGCTGCACTGCCAGCCAGAAGGCACATAGTTCAAATCTCCTGCTTTGCAGGAGAAAGATGGGCCGTCTCCTCCTGTGAGATTTCCTACCTCAGAAAACCCACTGGAGGGTCACCTATGGATTGATTCTAACTTTATAGTACATAACAACAACATGAGGCTTCG